TTTCCCAAGGATATCTAGATGACTGAAGATGTATTTTGTCCATATCTACTAGTGCTCACTGCTACACACAAACAGCAAGGACTAGACTTGATGGGTTGTTTTAGAAATCATGGAGTGAAAAAAAAAATTCAGAGATTTTCAGTGGGTGTAAATTACCCTTAATTGCTTGCAGCGAGGGGAACTATTCCTTAAAGCTGAGGATCTTATTCATGATCTGAATGCTTTCAACAAATCAAGATTGCCCGTCGGAGTCAGTGCATAATAGTGTCTTTTTGACACTAGCAGATTTTTTTGGCAATTTTTCAGATTAGCAGTGTTCACCAGAAAACTTCTGCTACTCGACTGTGGCTTAAATATAGCTCAATATCTATACAGCAGATGGGAAAAAATTAAGTTTTATGTATATATTGAATAAGGAGGTTATTATTTTTTTCTGATGTATATTCTTCAATCTGATGTTTTTTTGTATCAACCAGCTATTTAAGAACACAAACATGAGAGCGTAGATACTTAGTGGATATTTTCTGTGGGTGTTTTTTGGATTCTTATAGCTGTTCACACAGACAGGATGTTACTGCTCTGGTAAGACATACTACATGCACAGTCCATATCACATAACATACTCTTTGAATTACACACTGATTCTTGTACTTAATCACAAATATGAAAAATATTATAGTCAGGCTTATATGCTAAGTAAATAGGGAGTACAAGCTTAGATGTGAAAGGCAGAGCCTAGAGTGCTTTAAATATATAAACAGACAAATTAATTTTATTTTTAAAGCCTAAATTAGTTTTTATGTAGGCAAAGCATGAGCGAGAAGACAAGATTGCCTTTGGCCCTGTTTGGGGAGGGGAGTAGCATTTTGGAGATCCAGAAACAAGATGTAGAGGTGCATTTATGTCCAAGGGTAATTAATGGTATTGAATTACAAATGCAGATGTTTTTCAGTTCTGTGTATTCCAAGTCCTGTTTGTGTAGAAAGTGATACTATTTTATAAATGGGCATCTTTAAGCACAAAATACAAAACAGTTGCAGGTCAGATGTGCCTTCACACTCGAGCTTGTAAGTGCAGATGACAGAGAAGGCACTGGAATCAGAGCACTGCATTCCCTCTATTGCTGTCAGTGTTAGTCATATCCCCTGTTGCAAGTGCAACCCTGAGCACTGAAGTTATGCCTTGATGAGAAGCAAAAAACAAACAACAGCACTGTTTAGTTTTCAGTTTTATGAATGCTGTGATGTTGCTTATATGGACTTGTGGACTTTATACTCATGGACTTCACTAAACAAGTGATTTTGAAGTGCTAGTTATGCTTGGACAGAAAAAAATATTTAACACATAATTATAAAAATTCCATATAAATATGTATATTTATAACAGTAAGAAGGGTAATGAAATGCAATTTAATAAATAGTTATTCCTAAACCAGAAAAGATACTTAAATATCAGACACTTTTACTTCTGCTTTGGGAAGTATTACACTCAAAAGGCAATGTGCTGAAAGAACTATAAATAAAAACCTGGAAAAAAAAAGAGCTCAGAGAGGAATATGAAGACTTATCCTGAAGAAGGGGAGGAAGGCAGTGAAGAGTGTTTCAGAGCAGAAAGTGCTGCCACACAGCTGAATAAAAATAATTGGAATTCTAGAGACTGTGTGGTAAAAGAGAATGAGTAAACGAAAACAATTTTTTTCCAGGGGGTGTGAGTATTCTGCTTTTCATCAGATTGTGCTGTCTAGCATATGGGCTGTTTTTCAGTTGGTATTTTGGGTGAAGTTTTTCAGTTCTGTGCTGTGGTGTGTGGCTGGGGACCATGGCACTCCATATGGTGGCTTTCATACTTTCTTGCAGGTGTAAAAGAAAGGATATAAGAGAACACTGAGATAAAGGTTAGACCAATTCTAGGTTTGAAATGTCTGTTCAGAGTAAGAACAAGACATTTCAAACTGCTTAGTGGAAACACTCTAACATACTGTAAATGTTTTACTGACATTTCTTAAGAAAATCCATTTCATATTTTGTTCTCCATTAAATAACAATCTGCTGCCTTTTTGAAATAAACTGACAGTTTATCAATATCAGATGTCTTTAACCTGATGTAACTTAGACATGTAGAGAGGGAAAGTAAAGGGTGTGTAAACAGGTGCTACTACAAACAACGCTTCTCTTATTTGAACTGATCGGCAGGAAGTGAATGCATCACCAAGGAAGCACAGCCACCCCGCTTAACACTCATGGCAGCCCTCTCAGTAATTACTGTGTCACTTGGTTGTGATATACCTGAAGGGCCAGATCAAAACTGAGCTAGGACCAGTTGGAATTAATAATTTTAAACTATACTCTGCTAGCGAGGATGACACCTGCACATTAATCCCACTGCGAAGAGAGTCTTGGTCCATGCAGGAAAGATGTCTATTATAACTGTAACATCATATTTTGGAAATTAGGGTCTTTAGGTAAGACATTGTCTGTTCTCTTCATTTTGCCTGTAG